CGTTTCACTCCCGTACTGTTTTGGTCCAAATTTTAAAATTCCATGTCCATGTGCTTAATCTATGGCCCAATGCTATACACACAAAACGAGATTGAGTTTTGATAGCGATATTTCCTCTCCAGAAGGGAAAAAGATCTGCGAGATCCCACATTCAGACCCAAATATAAACTCAGTAAGTGACGGAGGCAACAACGATCAATTGCTGAAAGTGCTGAACATGACAGAAAGGATTGCCTCACAACTCAAAATGATCTGCCAAATAGTTGCAAGCACTGAGAACAGACTACAGACTCGAACGTATATTTGAGCGTTTTTCTGATTTAGAAAGGTCAGTTAACAGCTTTCCCACTGAATTGAACACGCTTAGTAAGAAGTTGAGAAAGATCGAAGAGAAGAGTTTTTCGCTATTTTCACTTATTGCGATAGAGCTCAAGTTGTTCTTGATGCAAAGTTGAACAATTTTTTGCATCAGACCTGTCTGGTTTTCATCAGCCATCTCATTAGAGTCATAGAGATTGTCAAGCAGTACTATTTTCTGGCATACTTTGAAGATGAATCCAGAATTTTTGTTATGGAAGTTTCAACGGCCAATTATATAGGCAGTCTAACAAGTTATTTTCTGGTTGCAACATTTAGTGTATTGTTTACTTATCCCAAGAAATTGTTTCCAAAAAATATGTTTTTTCAATATGGGTCTGCTACAGAAAGGGGGTTGGTTCTTGAACGTGGAAATCTCACTGTTTGGCGGCAAGCTGTTATTTTTTAAATGTTGTAAAAGAATTGATCGAGTGAAGCAATTTAACCAGCATCTGAGAATTCTTGTTTCGATGGTGAATGAGGATTTTTATTTCCATTGTCTATCTTTTGTCAGAGTAAGGGCCGGGTAGCACTAAAGCCAATTTTGTTTGTTTAAAATATTTCCAATTTTTGGGGAGGACAAAAATTGGCAAAAATTTTGCATGTTCCAAATTTTTGCGGTGGTCGCATTGGACCAACATGTTTTAACCAAAACTTTGCTGATTCACATATACGTCACAAGATCTACAGACAACAAAACATTTCGCACGTTAATTGTGCAAGAATGGATCGTCACAAACATATGATTATTTTTGCAGCTTTCAGACCTTTGTTGAATTTTGTTTTAGTCTCAACAAAACGTAGCATTTTTAGTATTGTTGGTGCACTATTAGCAGGCTTTTCAACGGTTAGTGTCTGCTATTAGAAGACGTAGGGTTCGCTTGAAAAGACGTCATTTACGAAACCGTCCTTGGTCGTGGATTTTACCGCATCCGGCAGAGTCATGGTTTGAAATACATTTCTACAATAGAAACATTCCAGAAGATTACTTTCGACGCCAGCTGAGAATGAAGGGNCACTATTAGCAGGCTTTTCAACGGTTAGTGTCTGCTATTAGAAGACGTAGGGTTCGCTTGAAAAGACGTCGTTTACGAAACCGTCCTTGGTCGTGGATTCTACCGCATCCGGCAGAGTCATGGTTTGAAATACATTTCTACAATAGAAACATTCCAGAAGATTACTTTCGACGCCAGCTGAGAATGAAGGGAGGGACCTTTCAAGCCCTGGTTGGCATCCTGACGCCGTGGTTAACCAGAGAGAATAAGCGATTGAGGGACTGCATTCCACCGGAAAAAGTTTTAGCCCTAGGAATATATAGGCTTGCACACGACAATTCATACATGAGCATCTGACCTGTATTTAATGTTGGCAAATCCACTGTAATCGAGGCCGTCCAAGATGTTGTGGCAGCTTTGTTTAAACTGAAAGATGAATATATACATTTCCCAGAAACAGTGGCAGAAACCAGCCTCTATAGGAACATTTAAAGACTTATCTCGACTGCCAAACATTGTTGGAGCGATTGATGGCACCCATAAACCGATAAATGCACCACACGAGAAAGCAGTCGATTACTTTAGTCACTATCGACATCACAACTTTGGCATTCAGGCAGTAGCTGATGGGGACTTGCTCTTTTTAGATTTTTCCGCTGGATATCCAGGAAGTATGCATGACGCTCGCATATTAAGGAACAGTAGTTTATATCACAAAGCTGAGCAAGGAGACATTCTCACTGGCCCCATCGTAAATGTTAACCACCACGAGATTGGCCCATATTTAGTAGGTGACAGTGCTTACCCGATATCACCATGGCTTCAAAGGCCATTCCCAAAGGCTACGAGAGACAAGAGCGAAATACAATTTAACCCTGAACTATCAAGTGCAAGGGTCAAAATAGAGTGCACTTTTCGAGGCCTTAAGTCACGGTGGAGAATTTTACAAAAGCGCCTTGATAGTGACATTAAATTCTCTGTTCCTATCGCTGTTGCATGTGCTGTCCTACACAATGTCTGTATAAAAATAGAGGACGATTGTGATGACGACAGCAATCCAGATCACCACTGCCGTGATGACAACAATGGAGATGTTGTTAGGGATGGACAAGAGATAAGAGACATCCTTAAGGAATTTCTCTAACTTTATTTTGAGTACATTATATCTTTCGCGTTACCGTGCTTATATCGTTTCAGTTTTTCATTTACCATTAACATCTCTTGATTTCAAATGTTAAATCGTAATCATGATTTAAATTTGCTTGCTGAACTTTTATTGTAATGTGTACAACATAACTTGGAATTGCGTTACATGCACTGGGTCACGCAATATTGTATATACATCGCAAAATTCTCTAAAATTGCATAGAATAAGTGTTATGTTATCGAACAGGAACACTTCAAACACAGTCAATTGAACTTTTATCATATTGTGCTCAGTACAATATACACATAACTTCGAAATTGCGTTACATGTATTAGGTCACGCAATATTGCACATACATCGTAAAATTCATGATCTAAATTGCTTAAAATATGATGTTATAATATCGAACAGGAACATTTCAAACGCAGTCAATTTCTGACTAGAAAAATGTGTTAATGTCAAATGCATTTAACCGTTCATTTGGGAGAAGACGATTCAGTGTTCTTGCTCATAAACTGGGTCATAGCCCCAATAAATTGACCCATCATGGCCATCTGTTGTTTTTGGGTTTCTGAGGTTTCCATAAAGTTACTTAAATTTTCTCCGCATTTTTTGATGGCATCCATACTTTCACACAATTCTCTTCTTTCCTCCTCTTCTCCTTCTTCGACGGCTGCACGATTCCTTTTCCTCGACTGTTTAGATTGCTTCTTCCTATCGGTCCTTGCATCACACGCATCTTGTTTCTTTGAGTCCCCTTGACTTTGCTTATTCTTGTCGGACTGGGCATCTAAATCGTCCAAACCAGCTGGGGAGTCAACACTGCTGCTGTGTGATGTCTTCAGTAGACTTGAACTTCCACTGGTGCCTGCTTCGGACATGTTTTGTAATGTAACGATATCTCGACACCCCAAGATAGCGTCAATCTCGTTGTAAAATATGCTTTGCCTTCTTGTGCCCCCAGTCTGTTTCCGGTTCCACTCCTTCGGCTCTTTATATTTCTCAATTAGGTATTTAATTTTCTTCATACACTTTTCTATGCTCTTGTTGGACTCTAGACAAGAGTTTAACTCTTCCGCGATTTTCCTCCATGCGGTTCTTGCCTCTCTGCTTTCTACCAATTCGTGGTTTTTGGCCCATAATTGGACCAGCAGTTTTTGCTCTGCTTGTGATCACGTCTTGTACTTTACTTTCTTTTTTCCTTTGTTGTCATTTGTGTTGTTGCTTCCACTACTTTGACTGCTTTCCACACTTGGAATCGAACCGAGCGAAGGAGACTGTCTTGCTTCCATGCTTGCAAGGGACGGAGATTGTCTTGCTTCCATGCTTGCAAGGGACGGAGATTGCCTTGCCGCCATCTCTTCACCATTGAATTGGTGCTGGTAGCTGGATCCAGGGTAGGAGTCATAGGCATTTGGAAAAAAAATGCTGCTCATATTCATTGTTGCCATTATAGAAACCGTAGAAAGAAAGGGCCAGATGGACCGGGTAAAAAATAATTTTGTCCCACCATCGTACGTGCTGACCGAACAAAGTTATTTTTCCCACTGTAACTTTATCCAGGCATGTTTTAAGAAAAATAACAGTTTTACCAGACACATTTGAAGAAATATGACAGCTTAACGGCTAAAAAAACAAGATTGTTTGCTTTGCCAAAATTTGGAAGCCTCCGAGGCAGCACTTTGGCTTCTTTGAAGATTGGCAAAATTTTGGCAATCCGCAAAAAATTGGCGAGTTTTTGAAACTGGGGGTCACACTTATTTTCTGCTACTTGAAGACAGATTTATTACTTATGCAAACAAAATTGGCTCAGATTGACTCTAGTGCGACCCAGGCCTAAAGCGCAGATTGGGCAGGAAGATACTTAAACCTCAAGACGGACATTGAACTCTTTGCTGGAAGACTCGGTGAGTTGTGTGTTCACACTAATTCTGAATTCAAGTGAAAATATGAAAGATCATATATGTTTCGGGAAATGAAAGATCGCATATGAAAGATCATTTACTGTTTCGGAATTAGATGATATCAAAAGGACAACTGATCTGAACTTTCGCTAGTGGGTCTGATTTGAAAGGCTTCAGTGTTCAATATATAAATCTGTCTACATCCGTGTTACTAGTTGTAGATTATTTTTCACTTGCTTGATAAAATGATGTGAAGAGAAATACGATGTTCTTCACTCTTTAGCCTAAGCATTAGGGCAGCTCTTACTATTAAGTGCTATTGTGAATTTGTTTTTCTTGGTTATTATTAGATAGACAAAAGTTCCCCTCTTACTGGTGGTGATAAACAAGATGATGACTCCCTTTTCCCAGTTTCCGATGACCAAGGATGGACATATCACGCTTTCATTGAAGTATGCGACAAAATGTTTACTGCGTTCCAAGAAAAATGATTAAATCCCGCATGCGAAGCTTGGGATTGACTCTTGTCCAGTGCCGTGGGGACATTCAGGACATTGTTAAAAGAGCAAGGCCCCAGTTAGCTAGTTTTAGGGTAATTTCCCTTATATCTAAAAAAGACGTGAACATTCTCCAAGCTTATCACAAATCGCCCATGCAAAATGAAAGGCAGCTAAGTAGAAAGCGCACTGGCGTCAGCGATAGTGCTTTCTCCAAAGTCGAGAGGTGTTTCAGTCGAGAGACCAGTTTCAAATCATCAGCTCTATCCTATGACAGTGGCATTAATTGAAGAAGTCCAGTAGCAACAACTTCCAATTTTTCCATTGACCATATCTTACAAACTGGTGGGACCGCCACCAAAAGCTCCTTGATTCACGAGGCCACACCCAGGGAGGAAAGCTCACGTGAAGATGAATGCAACAGCACTGACTTCCAATCAATGGAGGAAGACTCATTAACCTTGGACAGTTCCAACAAATCGAATTGCAAAGACTGCCTTCAGCAAGATGATAGTGTAATCACTCTGATGTTAAAGAAACAAAAACTCAATATTTCTGCATTCTAAGATGTCATAGCTTCTTCAGTTCACGAGATGCAAGTGCTCTATCTTGCCGAGTTCAATCACAGAAGGCAGTCACCGAGAATGGCAGAAAGTATATGGCAGACACGTGGAGAGGCTAGTAAAATTCCTGGCTCACTGTGAGACCAACTTAGAACTGAATCCCGCCTTGTCTCTCATTGATGAATTCACCTTAGTGGAGAGATTCGTGAATTACCTCAAGGAAGACCAACGTGTTAAGAATTCTACGGCCTCTAGGTATCTTCACAGTCTGATAATCACGGCAAAGTTTATTCATGCAGACCAAGGTCGAAGAGACTACGAGCAAGTGGAAAGCATCTCTGATCTTCGCTCACTGCAGAATCAACCGGAAAAGGCACAGCGTCTTACAAAGAGCGTGCCATCTGTGACACTGCTATGGCCACAATTTCAGGAAGTCATTCAAAGCCTCCACTGTAGGTACGAGGAGACCTAGAGTGGTCAGAGCAAGGTTACACGCAAATTTCACGATGCTCCTTCTTTTCGCTGTGAACCCTGGCCAAGCCAAAGAGCTGAGGACCCTACGTCTGTCAACAAAAGAACTAGCAGAGCAAGAAATTCACAAATTGGCCAAGAGTTTTCCAGAGGGAGACAATGCAATAATCTTTTCGAGCGAGGGACCTGTCTGGCTAATAGAGCATGGCTATAAAAACCACATCAAAATACGGTCCTAATGTTGTTCGATTTGACACTGCCGAGTATCAATTTGTCACCTTCCACCTCAAAGAGTACAAGGGCATCTCAAGACCGCGCCTCCTATCTGAAGAAAACATGACTACTTCTTTTTCAACAAGCGCGGCACTCAATTCAAGACAGCTGGTTTCTTTTCACACTACCTGTCACTAGTTTTTCAAGAACACCTAGGTTTTCCTTGTGCCATCAACGAAGACACGCCCTGATGGAACACTTCTGTTCTTCTCCAGAAAGTTGATGTAAGGCTAGCCGAGTCCCTAGGAAGTGTTTGCAAGCACAGTTTGAGAATGCAGATAAGCATTTACGATCGACGCATGGAGTCTGAACGCAGATCACAAGCATTAAGCTACCTTAATAGATCTGCTGTCAATTTTATCCTAGACGAAGCTCTAGCTCCATGTTCCCCGACAGATGACAGTGATCGGGAAACAGAGGATTTGCCCTCCCTGGGGGAAATGTGCGCTTGTGCCTTTCGATGCAACTCAGGAAAATCCCACCCTGTTCTTAGCCAAGGTTCTTAAATACTCAGTGGACAGGAGGTCCGCTTGACTAGCTTGGTTGACAGAAGTCGAAACATGCCCAACCTACTACGAATTCCAAGCAGGGACAGACGTGTGGGAGGAAAAGACCAGTTCTCTGATCTACCCCATACATGTCGTTTTCCATCAACTTGACGGAACTTACGAGCTTTGAAAACCAAAGAAACGACTGTGCTCTATGATAAAAAGTAAATAGCTCAAACATCAACACTGAAACGCCTCACGATACTGAAATGCCTCACTTAGATCCAGCTCTTTGGTAACATCTCTTTAATAACAATAGATGGCCTCGCAATCTTTCAAGCTCAAGTACAACAGAATTGTCAGCCTTTCAGATTTTGAAAATGTCCCCAGATCATAGAAAGATTGAAGTATTGCTAGGATGCTCAGTGGTTGTTCTGTTCAGCATAAAACACAAAGACGACAGGTATAAGGAAAACCTCACTGCAGTTATTGGAAGTCTAATATTTTCCGGTATACATGCGTCCACGTCAAAATATCATCAGCTGTCTTTCAAGGCCCAAGGACAGTTGTGTTAGGCAAACAAAAAAAGGGACAACT